TTATTGAGCAGGAGCCAAGTCCTTCATGCTTTAAGGCAAATCAGGCCTATTTTTTTAAAAAAAGATACCAAGAACTGCAGATGCTGGAGTCAAAATCAACACAGTGTGGAGCTGGAGGAACACAGCAGGCCAGACAGCATCAGTGGAGCAGGAAAGTCGATGTTTCAGGTCGGGACCCTTTAGAAGGATGCCTCCCCAAAACATCAATTTTCCTGCTCCTCTGATGCTGCCTGACCCGCTGTGTTCCTCCAGCTCCACACTGTGTTGACTTTTTTACTTAAATGAGCTTCCTGGGAGTCCAGATAACTTGGGAATTATATTTAGAAATCAACTGCAGAAAAATGCAACAAATTCTCACATATTAATCAGGAGCTGGCTCACACATGCCAAAAGTGAAAATAAATATCAAATACCTTCTAAATTAAGAACAGTTTCTCCCTGGGTCAACCGGTTTTGTAAGTATGTATTAAAACCCATTTACAGTAACACTAAAACTATCATTGTGATGTAATTTAACACCTGCAATACCATGAAGACCACTTCTGTATTACTAACTTTGATGCTAGCATCACAATTTTACGTTGAACAAAAAACTCAGACATTTGGCTTATTCTCACTATTCCTCTACTACGTTGCTTTTACTTTAATTACGTTACATCTTGTCTAAACAATGCTCCTCATTCTTTTTAAATCTCATTTTTTTAATCCTCTACTTTGGAGTAATTTTGGGGAAAGGGGTTCCTGTTTCACAGTGTTTTTATTTTCAATCAGCTAATTGAGTGACAAATACCTAAAGGATCACCAATATTTTATAATTCACTTTAAGGGTTAGGGTTAAGGTTAAGGGGCTCCCAAATTGGAAAATAAACTCAGCGGTTGATTCAGAAAAGAAACTATGTGGGTTTCCTCCGGGCGCTCCCCTTTCTCCCCATGTCTGTGTGGGTTTCCTCCGGGTGCTCCGCTTTCCTCCCACAATCCAAAGATGTGCAGGTTAGGTGGATTGGCCAGACTGAATTGCCCATAGTGTCCAGGCAGGTGCAGGTAAGGTGGATTAGCTATGGGAAATGCAGAGTTACAGGGAGAGGGTAGGAGGGTAGGTCTGGGTAGGATGCTGTTTGGAGGGGTTGGTGCAGACTTGATGGGCCAATGGCCTGCTTCCGCACTGTAGGGATTCTATGATTCTATGAATGCTCAATGCACAAGACATTAACTGAGGTAGGTGGTAGGAAGTGGAGTTAAAACAGCACAGGGACTGATTGGAAAAATTGGAAAATGTTGGAAATAAGTGACTGAGTGTGTATGGGTGTGTTGAGTTGATACAAGTCTATTATTTTATTAATGGCAACATAAAAACAAAGAACTGCAGATGCTGGAAACCTAAAATAAAAACAGATAGTGCTGGAGAAAGCAGTTCTGGCAGTATCAGTGGAGAGAGACAAAGAGGGTCGACATTGAGTACAGTGAGAGTAAATTTTGTTTTTATTAACCAAATTTGTTTTTATTTGTGTTTGAAACCAGCGACAACTGGTCTCTGAAAGTAAGGTCAAAAATCACATGACATCAGGTTGTAGTCCAACAGGTTTATTTGAAGACAAGCTTTTGGAGTCTCACTCCTTCTTCAGGTGTCAGTGAGAGAGGTGACATCGGACACAGAATTTATAAGCAAAAGATCAAAGCGTCATAGAACTGATGCGGTGTTGAGCAAACCTAAGCTGGTTGTTAAATCTTTAATCATTTGGAAAGGATTAATATGCAAATTCCCAAATTTCTTTCAAGCGGTCAAGGACATTCGGCCTTTGGGTAAACCTTCTCCAAGGCGGCCTTCGGGATACACAACAATGCAGAGTCACTGAGCAGAGGCTGATAGCCAAGTTTGGTACTCATGAGGACAGCCTTAACTGGGATCTTAGGTTCATGTCACACTACAGGTGACCCCACCACACTATACGCTCTCTCTCTCTCTCTCTCACACACACACACTCACCAACTCTCTCTCTCCAGCGCTACACACACACACACACACACACACAAACAAATCTATGGGGTGATTTTGCATTTGCAGATTTGTAATTGCAGATACATTCCATATTGTTCAAAAAGCACACAATTTGTACTCAGTCAATATGGCATTTTATAAATTCCTACTTTGGAAATAAAACCAGTTTGACTCCAAATTGATACACAGCCAGATTCTAAACAAGGCCTCATAGCTAAAATGCATTGTCTGACCTGAGATGTCATCTCTGGTATACTGACGGAGCTCATAAAACTCTTTAATTATCTCAGGGCAGTGACTTGAAAGAAATCTGTGAATTTGCATATTAATCCTTTCTAACTGATTAAAGATTTTACAACCAACTTAGGTTTGTTCAACATTGCGTCAGTTCTATGACCCTTTGATCTTTGGCTTATAAATTCTGTGTCCAATGTCACCTCTCTCACTGACACCTGAAGGAGTGAGACTCCAAAAGCTTGTGTCTTCAAATAAACCTGTTGGACTGTAACTTGGTGTTGTGTGATTTTTGACCTTGTGCACCCCAGTCCAACACCAGCACTTCCACATCTCTGAAAGTAAATTGCAGAAGAGAAGATCGAGGCTGTTAGAAATACTCAGCAGGTCTGGCAGTGTCTTTGGAGAGAACAGCATTCAGACACAAGGTCAAGAACTGCTTCATTAATTCTGGTTCTCCCTCTATTGACACTATCATATCTGCTGATTATTTCCAGCAGTCTGAGTTTTCATTTCAGTTTCACTTTCAGCGACTGCTTGTTCCTGGCTTCAACTCCATTAATAAAATGGTTAGCACACTTCCACGTGTACTCTATGACTTTACAATGATATTCTGTGAAGCACGAAGGTATTAGAGAGTGAAGAACAATTACATTTGGAAGCTATAAACACTGAATACAGACATAGTCTTTCACCATTCTGGTGGATACTGCCAAATATTTAATATTTATGCTTTACGCATTTTCTCACTGCACCCTCACACACAGAATCTCCTGCCTTCACTGGTGGTGAGTTTGGAAGTGCAAACAGTTAAGTGATAGAAGATACTTAGCCAGGGTGGCGGCATATCCAATGCCCACTGCTTACCCACCTCCACCAGAATTACGATCTGGGAGGGATTGCCCATCATTAACCTTCCCACACCACTACCCACTGAGGTCCTTATACATAGCCAATTAATTACCACTTATAGCCTAACCCAACACCAATGGGATTAACTGAATGGCAGGCCTATTGCCATGCAGTGTGTAGGGCAGCTAAAGACGTTTTGTCAGCTTGTCACCTAGCTGTGGGAGGGGTGTGGTGGTCCCTCAGTATCCATCAAGGGACTGAATATCAGGAAGGGGTTGTCTACTGACAGCCACTGCTTCCAGCTCTGCTGCTCTTTCTTCCCGCAACATTCAATGAACCCCGCCACCCAAAAGGAAAACAGCTCTCATTTCGTACGAATATACAAACAAGAGTAGGCCACTCAGCCATTCAGGCCTGCTCTGCCATTCAATAAAGATCATGGCTAATCTGATTATACCTGTGACCTAGGTCCCATCACGATCTTGGGTCTCTGGTGGGTCTTCTTCCAGCTGCGGCCACACCATCCTCTGCCCAAGAGCAGCCGGCCACTGAATGGCCATCAGCGGTCACTGGGGGAGACCACAACCCCAGGGTCTTGATTCCAGGTGAAAGATCATTGGTGGCCTTGCCATTGCCTGATTGGCGTGTGGGTCGGTGGGTCTTCCCATTAAAAAAAGAGACAGCACGGGTCCCTTAATGGGTCTCCAGTCAGGAGACAATGACCCCCACCCTAATCCTTTGATAAAGATATCACCCCAAGATGCAGCAAAACACATCGTAGGCATTTTCCTGCTGAAGAACCTTACCCTGCAATAAGCACATGTTGGGAAATAATGGATATGCTTTTCCCACAACTTTGCGTACAGTCCTTTAAAGTAGATTGTGGAAGCCATACAAATTATACAGTCACCTCGCTCCCAGTGGGCAAGGGTCTCCAAATATACAGAGTTGGACTAACTCCCAGCTGCTCCCATCCCTCCCAGCTCCCTTAAACTGATCCTAAACTTCAAAATAAACCATCATTGATAGAAAAACTCCTGTAAAACCTCAACACAAACCCAGCGATCACTAACTAATCGCCAAGAACTCACCGATGTTTTTGAAGGTGGAGTAATATCAAGCCAGAGGTTGGATTCCACATTGCTTAACTCTCTAAGTGACATTGAGCATTCACCAATAATCCTCTTCCGTGGATTCTGAGTCATAACATTGATAACCAGGCCATGTGTTTTGAGACTAGGCAGTGAAATATTAAACACAAAGGTTTCCATAAATAGCAAATCCTGAAAATAAGGACAGAAAAGAGAGAGTGGGTTAATCTTTGAACCAACAGGGCTGTAAAAGCGCCTAATTTTCCTCAATATTAACTATTTCTCTCCTGCTGCTGATATCTTCCCCAACTACAATGGCATGTCTTCCACACCTCAAAGCCCTGATTCCACTCCTCGTCTGCCATTTTGGCCTATCTCCAAACTGATCCCACTCCTCTCACCCCCTCCCAACTCTCTATTCACACCAAATACCTCATGCTCATGCCTTCATTTCTTACACTCCTGACAGCGGAACCTTATTTCCAATCTTCTAAGTCTTGATCTCTCACTTGTTCCCTTTCGTTAAGGCCGCTGTCCCTCAGACACTGACATTGTACTCAACTGCCTGTCCCAAGAACCCCTTCTGGTTACAATATCCTGTCTCTAATCCTCCTGTCCAGATGCTGGCTTCTCTATCAATTTGCTCAGGCTACCAGGAAGGTAATAAAAGGTCCTGCTTGTACATTCAATAGGGTCTCAATACTGCAAATTATTCCCCAATCCACACAGGGATTCAAGGGTTTGTAATTTCATGAGTTAAATATTCAGAATCAGATAGGGTTTGAATTCCCATACAACTCAAGATTTCAGTTGAGTGAATGAACCCAAATGACTATTACGGTTGTCCCAAAAAAGTACATTACAGTTAAAAACCAGAGCAACACCAGACATGATTATGACTAGGAATTTGGAAAAAAGTGAACTTTACCTCCTACATAGCACTTCCACATAATACATGGATTGTGAAGCACTTGGAGGCATTGTGAGCAAATGATACAAAGCTATAAAAGTAAATGTTGATATTCAGCAAACTGTGTGGAGAATTTCATGTGTTCTTTTACAATCAAGTACAGCCAACATTTCTGGCCCACTTGACTTTCCATCCATGAAAATCGACTTTAGTACTACTGCCACTCACTCTCCTTATGTGGAGCTCTGCACTGAGGCAGTTAATTGTTAAATTTACCTCTGTTAAATTTACTTCAATTTCTCAGCTCACAAAAATCACCTAAATCAACACTCAACTCATTCATTTTGAAGGAGCTATTCACTTATTTGAAAGAATTGTCCAAGTAAGATTAATAAGGAAGGGTCACCGAACCCGAAACATTAACTCTGTTTTTTCCCTCACAGTTGCTGCCAGACCTGCTGAGCTTTTCCAACAACTTCTGTTTTTGTTCCTGATTTACAGCATCCGCAGTTCTTTCGGTTTTTAATGATATCTCAGTTCAGGTTAATATTTACCGTACGTAAAATACATGGAACATTACAGCAGACTTTGGCCCTCAGTACCGGTCGTTCAGTAACCTCTTCATGTCACAAAGCTCCAAACTCTGTCAGCATGGAGAGTCAATATTTGTACAAATAATGGATAACCCCTCAGACAGTCTTACCAGTTTCAGCACTAGTTCCCACCACCACGCCCAGGGGAATCAAGGTTACTCAGGAATTTGGCTAAATTCAACCCTGCAGATCCAGGTTGGAAAGGTAGTGATACAGCAATCATATTCTCAGTGTTAATGCCATCACCATGTGATACTCTGGCTGGGGTAGATCGCTACCGTCAGTCCTCCTTTCTCTGTGCTTAGTCTAGGGCCTAATTGTTAGTTATAGAGGTTATTCCCCTGGTAAGTCTTAGCAGAAGAGGCACTTGTCTTTCAAAATAAGATTGTTCGTTTCACGATCATAAGTCACCGTACTCCTATCAGGCCATACAGCTGCTCTCTCATTAGAGAGAGGACTGGAAGTGGTTTAACCTGAGGGTCATCACACCTCAGGCAAGGGGGCAGGTTAAAAAGGCAAGTCTTCATGTTAACCTCAGCAGATGCAGGAATTGAACCCACGCTGTTGGCATCACTGTGCATCACAAATTAGCTAACCAGCCAACTGAACTACCTTAGATAACAGGGTGTAGAGCTGGATGAACATAGCAGGCCAAGCAGCAGAGGAGCAGGAAAGCTGACGTTTTGGGCCTAGACCAACTGAACTACCTTTGCATGATAGTAATAGGTACCTTTTAGGCATGATAAGTAAGGACTTGCAGAAACTGTATAGGATAAATCTGTTCCTTTTGGATACTGAGATTAACTGTCTCCATCCAAAGACTGTGAGACTGTGATTTGGTTGATCTTAATGTCAGATGAATGTTACTCCTTCAGAACCTCTGCCACAACAGTAGCGCTTTTCCTTAAAGAGCTTGGGTTCTCCACAATGTACTTAAATGATAAAAACCGAAAGAACTGCGGATGCTGGAAATCAGAAACAAAATCTGAAATTGCCAGAAAAGCTCAGCAGGTCTGGCAGCATCTGTGGAGAGAAAACAGAGTTAATGTTTCAGGTTCTGAAGAAGGGTCACTACACCTAAAACTTTAACTGGATCTGAAACTTTAATTCTGCTTTTTCTACACCAATGCCACCAGACCTACTGAGTTTTTCCAGCAATTTCTATTTTTGTATTTAAATGATAATATTTACACATACTTCAATATTTATGATGCAGAAATGGTGGATTGGTTTGGAATTTTACTATAATTTTAATTTAACACTACCCTTTTTAACTAAGGCAGTCCTTGAAATCTAACCCTTTGACCAATCTTTTAGGTCACCCACCCTTGTATCTCACATAGTTCATTGTCTCATTTTGCTTTATAATGCACCCATGAATCACCTTGGAATGCTTAGATAAAAAGCACTGTATTAACATTAGTTGTCAATTACCATTTTATTTTAAATTAATTCACAGGATGTGGGCATTGGCAGCATTTATTGCCCATCTCTAATTGCCCAGAGGGCAGGTAAGAGTCAATCACATCGCTGTGGGTCTGGAGTTGCATGTAGACCAGACCAGCTAAAGATGGCAGTTTCTGTCCCTAAAGTCCATTAGTGAAGGTGTAGAGATTATATGGTCACTTTTGGTACTGATATAATCACAGCTCTGATTGTTCTAATGCAGGAACAGCGTGGAACATGGAAGTAAAAATACACAGTTATAGCAGATGGTTAGATGGTTACAGCAATAACTTCATGAAGACATCCAGACTTTGCTGAAGAATACTTACACTGGCACCATCTTTCACAGAAGATTTGAAGTGCACAGGCTTTGCTAACGTTATTATTCCTTTCAGATAAACAGTAACCTTTTCTGCAGGTTTACTGCGCAGATACAAGTCTCTAATCTGTTCAAGGATGAGAATATAATTATTTACAATCATTAATTCACAGAATGGCACTTTAATAGTACAAATGCATTTTAATTCAAATAATTTAATAAGAAGGTTTTAACACTGTTGTTTCATTAATGCTGCTTTCTTTTTAGTGTAAAAGTCAAGTGAGTTATTAGGAGGGATTGTTTATCATTTGTTGCACATTGCATCAATTGGAAGATGATGCACATTAACATTTTTTTCAGAGAAGGAAGGATTTGAAGTCTTCATTCCCTAATCAGGACAGAAGGAGGGAATACCTTCAAAACCAAAAGAGTATGAAACACATTCCAGCTAATAAATATTGTTGTTACTTAGATGCTACTGTCGTGACCAATTTCTATGTGAAATATCTATTTATATATCTTGTCATATAAATACAGCAAACTTTTTATTACCTGGCAGCTACAAGACCAGAAGCATACCAGTTGATCAAATATTCTGCTTGATCAAAAGGTTCACATAATCAATCACACACGAAGTAACATAAATGTAATGCAGTGGGTATATACATCACTGTTATACTTTGCTTACAGCATAAGTCACTTAAATAATAATGCAACTTTGCCTTGAATAAAACTTACCAGCAGACAACCTTTTCACTCGCACCCCCAACTGATTACTTGGACATTGCAGAGATCGCAATAATACAGTAGACTTCACGGCATTTGAAGCATATACTTTTGACGGTTTATCAAGACTGCCAGTTCATTAAAGAGCCGGTTAAAACAAAGTTTGCTATAAAAATTTAATACATGATTTACACTAGAGGTACACAACACCAGCCCGTGGCTCAATTCTAGACCAATTTTGATCCAGTCCAACTTCAGAGACAGTCAGATACCCTGTTTTCTAGACTATGGGTTGGGTTTTATGGGAAGGCAGACTCTCACTTCTCCCATTCCTGGATGGAAGAAAAGTGGGCCTTAACAAAAATGGCCTTAACTAGCTGTGGGTCAGACTACAAGCAGATCCGCAAAGCTGTGTCATGGATGCCAGAGTCAGGCATGCCCTGGGTTTTGGGCCAGGGAGGGATCAGGTACCCAAAACAAGAGAGCAGGTGTGTCCAGGTGTGACCGTGGGTGTCAGTGGCCAGGCACAGAGACAAGAGCAGCTCTATGCCATCCTGGGGAGCTGTATATCCCCAACCTGCACTGGGCATATGCCACATGTTGTACCCTCCCCTCTTTTTGCTTGTCACCACATTTGGTGACAAATTGGCCTTTTTTATCTCATCCCACCTTCATCTGCCCACTGTATTATGGCAGTGGAGGTAGATTGAGGGCCTTAAGGGAGTGATAATTTGGCCACTTGGGCCTCAATGGGCCATCAGACGGGCAGGAGTAGACACCACACCCTCCTTCTTCCCCTCCCCCATTAACGTCACCTTCCCGACCCCACCCGTACTGTATTATGGACACAATGTTTGGGGTAGTTGTAACAATGTCGGTCAAGTCACCAAACACACTCAGTTCAGGGGAGGGGAGTTTGGGACATAAAAGTCTTGAGTTTCTTGCAGGTTCCTCAAGTTGGGAAATATAGAATAATTACATAAAGTTGAAAGAGCAGCTAGCAGAGGAATAGACTTACAGATTATTGTTGCAACAGCAATAGAAACACCAGCAAATTGGGTACCATTGTTTAGGTGGTGGATTGAAAAGTGAAGGGAAAATAAAACGATAGCAACACTACAACACAGCTTCCCCGGTGCACAAACAAAATAAGGAACTGACAATGCTGGAAAACTGAAATAAAAACAGAACTTGCTGGAGAAACTCAGCAGAGTTAATGTTTCAACTCCAGTAACCTTTCTTCAGACCTGAGGAACGGTTACCGGACTCAAAACATTCACACTGCTTTCTCTCCAAAGATGCTGCCAGACCTACTGAGTTTTTCCAGCCAATTCTGTTTTTGTTACCTAGTACATAGTTAGGCCTCACCTGTACTATGTTGATCCAGATTTGTTCCACATTTGGTCTGTAACTCAGTCTCAGATTGAGTTTTCCAAAGTCATCTGAAAGTGTGTCTGGAAAAGATCGTAAACTTATAAATACTTATACATTTGGTCACTCCACGTGCCATGTTTCCTGCTCCATAAGATTCCCCAAGTATTTCTGATATCCACATTATTTCCGTTATAAGGAGCCCAGGCTGAAAGATTTTCTTTTGTAATAATGCTTTGAGCAACCTGATCACTACCATTTTGTTAAAACAAATATTCTTGTACACAATGGGTAGTTGGATGAAATTATGGTACAGATCAGCCACGATGCAACCAAATGGAGTAACATTATTGAGGGGCTGAATGGCCTACTACTGCTGTCATAAAAGTAAGTGGTCAGGTATCTATTGGAGAAAATTCTGAATGAGGGAATTAATCTCCACTTGGAGAGTCAAGTTTTGATCGGGGTAGTCAACATGGCTTTGTCAGAAGGAGATCTTGCCGAACAAATTTGATGAAATTTTTTGAGAAGGTGACCAGATGTGTATATGAAGGTAGTGCAATTGATGTAGTAAATGGATTTCAGCAAAGCCCACAAAGGAGCTTGATAACTAAGGTAAAAGCACAAAGGATGCAGAGTAATGGTTGGCTCGCTGAGCTGGTTTGTTGTTCCGCAGACGTTTCGTTACCATGCTGGGTAACATCATCAGTGCAGCCTCTGATGAAGCGTCAGTGTGTTTTCCCACCTGGTTTTTAAACTCTGGGGTCCGTTGAGCTGGATTGCCTCACTTCCAGTTTTCCTTCGTAGTGGAGTGTATATGGGGTGGAGTTCTATGTGTTTATTAATGACTTTCTTCGTGGAGCGCCAGGCTTCTAGGAATTCCCATGCCGGGTCTCTGCTTAGCTTGTCCCAGGATTTTGGTGTTGTCCCAGTCGAATTGGTGGTTCTCCTTATCCATGTGGATTGAGATGAGTGAGTATTGGTCGTGTCTTTTTGTAGCCAGTTGGTGTTCATGTACTCGATGTTAGTTTCCTTCCTGTTTGTCCGATGTAGTGTTTCTCGCAGTCTCTGCAGGGGATCTTATAGATGACACTGGTACTCTCCATGGCGGCAGTGGGTCCTTAATTCAGGTGAGCAGTTGTCGCAGGGTTGATGTGGGCTTGTGTGCCACTCTGATGCCCAGCGGTCGTAGGAGTCTGGTGGTTAGTTCCGATGTGTTCTTGATGTAGGGTAGTGTGAGGAGTGTGTCGGGGCATGTAGTATCTTCCTGATGTTGTTCATGTAGGCATCTTCTGACCCAGTTTTTTTGGATATCCATTATCCTTGAAAACCTGGAAGAGGTATTCTTCTTCCTCTTGGTGTAGTTCTGCGTTGCTGCAGTGTGTTGTTGCCCGTTTAAATAGTGTTCGCACGCAGCTTCGTTTGTGTGTGTTGGGATGGTTACTCTAGAAGTTCAGTACCTGGACCATGTGTGTGGGTTTTCTGTGTACTTTTGTTTGGAGTTCCCCATTTGTTTTGCGCTCTAAGGTGGCATATGGAACACTTGCCTTTATAGTCGTGGCAAAAATAATAAGGGCAGGGAGGTTACATTGAAGCTGTACAGAACTTTGGTTAAGCCACAGCTGGAGTACTGTGTGCAGTTCTGGTCACTGTACTATAGGATGTGATTGCACTGCAGGAGATACAGAAGAGATTCATCCAGGGTGTTACCTGGGATGGAGAAATTTCGATCTGAAGAGAGACTGGATCAGCTTGGGTTGCCTTCTTCAGAGCAGAGAAGGCCAAGAGAGGACTTGATTGAGGTGTGTAAGTTTATAGAATCCCTACAGTGTGGAAACAGGCCCAACAAGTCCACACCGAACCTCAGAGCATCCCAGCCAGATCCATCCCCCTATAACCCACCTAATCTACACATCCCTGAACACTATGGGCAATTTAGCATGTTTATAAGAGAGTTTATAAGAGAAGCCTTGACAGACTGGGTAGAAAGCAGCTGTTCCCTTTGGTTGAAGGGTCAATAACAAGGGGCATCATTTTAAGGTGAAAGACCTTAAGGTTTGGAGGGGATAGGAGGCAAAATATTTTCACTCACAAAGAGTGACAGAAATTTGGAATGCACTGCATAGAAAGGTGGAAAACCTTAGAACCTTTAAAAAAGTACTTGGATGAGCACTTGAAATGTCATCACTTTCAAGGCTATTGGCCAAGTGCTAGAAATTGGGACTAGTGTAAATTTGGACTGGCTTTTTTATTGATGCAGATTTGATGGGTTGAAGGGCCTCTTCTGTACTATAGGATTGTATGGAAAAAAAAACTTAAGACCAAGGACTAGCTATCTAAAAGAATCTTGTTATAACCAATATCCTTCACAGAAGGTCGAGTAAGCTTTATTCTTGTTATTGCGTAAATAAATCACTAAAGGAATGGGGGCAGGAGAGAAAACAAAAATGAAAAATAGGAACCATCTGAAATAAATGATCACTGCGTTATCTTTAGTTCATGGTTGCTAAGCAGAAAATAGCTCTCCTATGCATTATCATCGCTTGTGCACCTTTTATTGGAAGGTTGCAGTTTTGTAACATCTTCACCTGCAAGCGCTCCCTACAGCCAACTGAACAAGTAAGATACAAACTCCAACTTTAACACTACCCAGCCAATGGCAATGGCTGGGCTGGAACAGAGTTGAGCACTACTGCTGCTAGAACCAGTCTAATAACAGTGATCTTGTCATATTAAATAGTAACCACAACATGTTCTTCCCCAGTTTTCACTTACATTCAAATAAAAATGTCACTGATTATACGCTTGTCATAGCTCCACAGTCTGAGGAAAATTAAGATTTTTCAGTAACTCAAGTACAGCCTACGGGCACAGGGGTACAAAACAGCCTCCTGCAGGGCTCTACTTTGTAAAATTAGTGTTTTTGCTGGAGCCGGCTGTTTGATGTTTATGGATGATGGATATTGTGTCTCTGAGAGTGTCTCTGAGTGTGTATGGAGCTGCAAGAGAAGCAGATGCCTGCAATGCACTGCAAAGTATTGTAGAGGGAGCTACTGGGAGAGAGAAAGAGGGAGGGAGAGAAAAAGAGAGAGAGAGAGAAGGAGAGAGAAAGAAAGAGAGAGGGAGAGAGGGACAGAGACAGATAGACAGACAGAGAAAAACATTAACTAATTCAAGGTCAGGCATGCCAGCAAACCTATTGTGCAGAAAATGAAGGAACTGCATTCCTCAAAACAAGCTGCCCAGCTGAACAGTTATTGAGTCTATTAAAAACACACTGTGTACTAGATTGAGGTGACATTGTTTTTAAAACTCACCTACGCTTCGAGAGCTTCCCTGGGAATCCATCAAAGAAGATATTGTGCTGTTTACACTAGACGTTGAATTAAACCTCTGCAGTTGTAAAGAGAAAAAAACTTTTAATTCTTGAATAGGAAAACACCATTCTGCCCCTTGAGCATGGAATAGAGGAACATGGAATTCAATCTCTTACCATTCTTCACAGAATCACAGAACTGTTACAGCACTGAAAGAGGCCATTCAGTGCCTGCACTGATCTATTCCCTTGTGCCAATCTCACGCCTTATCCCCATATCCCTGCAATCTACGTCTATCCAAATAGTCATGCAATGCCTCAGTTGAACTTGCCCCCATTTCATTTCCAGGTGCTTCTTCATATTGTGAATTAATATTTTACTTTTTTTATTAGACTTCAGTCAACTGCTTTAAAGATGACTGCTGAGAACACAGTTCCCAGTTCCTTTTCGTGTACTGGACAGTAAAGTTAGGAGGCATTTAAGAGAACAAAACTAGTTAAAGAAATACTGGAAGGGGTATACAATATGCAGTAACTGATCCAAGTTGTGAACTGAACTGTTGTGATATCATTAGTTTTGACATTCTAATTTACCTGAAACTCTTTATTAGCCTCACTGATACCCTGGAGATTTTCTTCTCATATTGCTGGCTACGATTGCACAGGAAATTAATCATATTTTTGAGTGACTTCAGGATAATTCTGGTGTGTTGGCAACTCGAAATCGGTGTGTGAGGACAGACTGTGGATGGGTATCTCATTATTGCCAACTTGGTTAAGTTTCTCTTGGGTTTGAAGAAGAATATACTACGTAAACAGTGAAAGGAGAAACCGTGGCCCTATTATTCTGAACAGTGGTTGCTCCTTTTGTGGAGAAGTGGTTTCTGAACCACAAGTGACAGCTTGCTGGATCATCACACAGTACTAAGGAAAGGACACCTCCCTTCCCTCGAAGGGATCTTTCCAAAGAGTATTGCTGTCCATTGAAATCTTGTTAAGGCATGGCATTTAAAAAGACATTGATATATACCTGCAGAAAGTTAATTAAAGCTACTGTGAAGGAGCAGTTACACTGATTTATTTCCAGAAACTGAGGTAGCCTTGTTGAAAGGCAAAGATAGATAGATTTTTGAACTGTAGAGGTATTAAGGGGTATGTGAGTGGGCGAGTAAGTGGAGCTGAGTCCATGAGAAGATCAGCCATGATCTTACTGAATTGTGGATAAGCTTGAGGGGTCAGATGGCTCCTACTTCTTATGTTCTTATGTAACCCTCTTCTGTGTTGAAAAGCCCTCAAGCAGAAAATGTTCACCAAGTATTCAAGATGTGCAAGTTTCTGTTGCATGTCATGGCTCAGTGACAAACCCTGACGTCAATACTCCGAGGCAAGATGCAACGCATAACTTTTGTAAAACGTAATCTGGTAAATGAGGGTTATAAAAATAACCAGCTTGTTGAAACCTCTTTGGTTTTCATCAGTCTAATACATGCATAGGTAGTCCAATGAGGTAGTCTAGCAAGCTATTCCACTGCAAGAGAAATATCCACCCAACCCAGCACCATTATGGGAGGTCCCTCACCACAAAAACAGCGGTGTTTTACAGAGAAGATCAACACTGCTGTCAGAGAAACTGTTTTTGGAATCAGTGGTGCTTGAAACAGCTAACATAACAATCTTAGCTGAAAGGGACCTCAGCGACTGATATTCAGTGAATTCCCACTTGGACTTTAGAGTAACACCACTCAGCATTTACACTGTAGCACTGGATTACAATGCTTTAAACAGAGAGGCCATGAATTTTCAGAGGTTTATGGAATGGTTAGAGCACCAAAGGAGGCAATTTGGTCCATCATTCCATTCTACATCTCTGCAAGAGAAACTGAGTTCACACACCACTACTCCAGTCTTTCATTGCTAGCCTTGCCAATGCTGTGACTTCTGGCATTTTTCCAATTCCTTGTTGAGAGTTATGATTGAATCTGCATAGGGCACATAAGGTCTTTGGAGGCAGGGGAGGGTGGTGTCAAAGTGTGTGGTTGTGGAATTGGGGGAGAGGTGCGGAGAAAGAAGGAAATAAAAAAGTCTGATCGGGGAGGGGTTGGGCGGTTGGTAGGGTCAGGAGTCTGGGGCTGTAAGGAGTCGGGGCTGTAATTGGTGCAGGGGTAGGGGGAGGTGGGTGAGCCTGGCATTCAGTTTAATTGTTACATTTGAATTACAGGAGGCTTTTAAACCTTTTAAGTTTCCTGATTAAATTCCTGCTGCATCTGGAATTCCTCATGATCCTTATACACACTGTGTGTGTTGCTCCAACAATTCCCTAGCCATTGGCATATCCAGGTCGTTAATTCTCCAACGGTTCAGTCAATCGTTTGCCTGCTCCATGGATAGTCCAAGTGAGGGGAGGGTAGAATCCTATTAGCTTGGGAGACTAGTTTTTTTTAAAAATTCATTCACAGGACAAAAGCATCACCTATTTATTGCCCATCCCTAATTGCCCAGAGGGCAGTTAAGAGTCAACCACATTGCTGTGGGTCTGGAGTCACATGCAGGCCAGTGTAAAGGCATGCAAGCTCCAAAAGCATTTGGGAACCAAAGCCCCTCTGGCATTTTCCTCCTGTAACATCTGACTTCATCCTTTCTTTTAATCTCACCTCTTGCAATGTATTCACCATACTCTTTGAACTTTCCCTCTCCTTCAATATCTGTTCCACTTTTTCCTCCTCCCTCTCTGCCAACAGCATAAAATAACACCATTTTCCAGTCCATTTCAGTTCTGAACAGTCATATCAGACTCAAAATGGTGACTCTGTCTGTCTCTCTCTCTCTCTCTCTCTGTACAGATGCTGCTAGACCTACTGAGTTTCTCCAACATTTTTTGTTTTCTCTATTTCAGATTTTCAGCATCCGCAATATTTTGTGTTTATTATTATAGCAATGAGCAGGCTGATTATTGATTTTAGTTCTTCTTAGAGCATCTTTTTCCAGGTTTACATGGGGAACTTGCTGTTCTACTTATATTCTAGAGAGAAGTCCCCAGGCAATGGGACCACATAGTGGCACTGCAGCTCAGAGCTGCTTCCAACGAGACACCAGGTCACAGAATCACAGAAGTGTTAAAGTGTTGAAGGAGGCCATTCAGCCCATCATACCTGCTCCTGCAGTGATGGTAAAACTGTTGACAAACTACTGGATTGCAACATTCACATGCATACATGATTCTCCTTCACTGTGTCCAATCCAAGAGCAAGTCAGTGAGATTATTGCCAAGCCAATAGCATCGGACTGACATAGTGGGTTGCAAAATAAGCTTCAGTTTAATAAGAACAAAAGATAGGATGTTGGTTTCTTGTACTCAGAAAATGAGGCTTTGCATAAATGGTGTGGCCTATTGATTTCACAAGGGACTGACTCACGCTGCATTTGATGCTTTCGAGCCTTACAGTCCAATAGCTAGGGGCCCACTTTTGGGTCATTGGTGGTCTTCTTCATGACATCAACTGGCACGCTCTCAATGAGCCAGTGCACACAGGGGGTCCACCTGGGGGTTGCTCCTGCAGGTAAATGCCACTGTAAGAAGAACTGTCAGGAGTGTTTAAACTCCAATGATGTAGTCCCTGCTGCTGTCCCACATGGCCACATCAACCAGCTGCCATACCATTCCCAGCTCATGAAGCAGAAAGGTCATGAAGCAACATTAATCTTGCCGTACACAAGGGTTTGAAAAACTCACCCAAGAAAGGCATTTAAAACTGCGCCAGACTTCCTGTGAAATAGCAGGTTCTGTTCATGCATCTGGTATCAAACCATCATCAATATGTCTGGAATTCTGGAATTCATGCACCACATTGAGACAACACCTTAGCACCAGTCTAGCAGGAGAGGTATTTGTCTTTGACTCTCTTTGAAGACAATAGGCTGTACTCAAATGAATCCACACAGGATTGCAGCAAGTCCCTCCTTAAGGTGAGAGGTGAGCAATGACCTGAAGTACATTTGTAGCTATGAGGATCAAACCATGCAGCACATCAAAGCAACCTGCCACTAACATATGTTGTAGGAGGCCCATAATTTCTTCATTCAGCATCTCAGAAGGCCATTGACTGGCTTGCCAAACCAGCTATCCCATTTTAACCTGTAACCACCGTACAAAAGTAGCAACAGTAGTGTTCCCCAACATGGAGTGTTAGTGAAAAATAATTCACCAAGGACACTCACCTAAAAATAAGACCACAATCATGTCAAATTTCAAAGGATCTTCTGAACTGCTCAAAATTAGAAAATGATTTGCCAATTGGTAGGTGTGAAACTATCTTGTAGCAAGAGAAGACATCATCGATCTGCATTTACATGCTATTTCCCTCCACACTGAATAAGCCTCTTACATAGAGGCTCGGACTTGAAAAGGTACATACCTATTCCATTTGTGCTGTGGAAGCTAGCAGCCTATGGAGATGGTAACATTTGAGCACAGGATTTTCTACTGCTGGTGACATTTGCCTGGTAATTAGAGACCATCTGGGATTGTTTTAATGGGTCCAAGAGTCATTGAACAACAGTTCAAAGGTCATTTCTCAGTCAGTCTTTTTTAGTCAGTTAGGGGCAGCTGAAACTCAGTGCAGCTGAAAGGCTGGACTATGGAGAAACCCTGAGGTACTACCAGCCTTAGCTAAACGGTTTGTATGCTCCATAGAGCTGGGATACAGGCTCCTGAGGAGAGGCTAGGGAGCAGAGTGGTGAGCAGCCACTAGGCTGTCCTAAGTTCGAACAATCTTGCCTGACAGCTCTTGCAAATTAAAAAAGAAGCAGGAAAGCCTCCAGGCTGAATAGGATCTGTTAAACAAGTTTCATGGTGAGATCTCTGAAACTGAATCATTGGAATACCTTAAGGGGTCACAGTTATAAGTGAGATTTGGTGACTCAGATAGTAAGAACTGCAGATGCTAGAGTCAGAGATAACACAGTGCAGTGCTGGATGAACACAGCAGGCCAGGCAGCATCAGAGGAGCAGGAAAGCTGTAGTTTCGGGTCGGGACCCTTCTTCAGAAATAGGGGAGAGGGAAGGGAGCTCTGAAATAAATAGAGAGGGGACAGGTGGGGCTGGGGAAGGTAGATGGGATGGTGATCGGTGAGTGCAGGTAGGCAGTGGTGGGGATCGGTCAGTGAGGTGGGAGGAGCGGATAGGTGGGAGAGGAGACAGACAGGTCAAGGAGGCGGGGATGAGAGGGAGGGTTGGTCATGGAATGAGGCCGGGGTGGGGAGAATTTGAAGCTAGTTAAGTCCACATTGAGACCATTGGGTTGTAGGCTCCCGATGCGGAATATGAGGTGCTACTCCTCCAGTTTCTGGGTGGCTTCGTTGTGACACTGGAGGAGGCCCAGATGGACATGTCACCCAGGGAGTGGGAGGAGGAGTTGAAGTGGTTCGTGACTGGAAGGTGTTGTCGTTTGTCGCGAACCAAGCGCAGGTGCTCTACAAAGCGGTCTCCGCGCCTCGGCTTGGTCTCACCGATGTAGAGGAGGCCACATTGGGAGCAGCAGATGGTGACTCCAAGTCTGGGTAGGTTGCTGACGAATCTGCAGGAACTGTCTTGACTGCATTTATTATTTATGTACTCTGTAGGGTGTTCAGCCATTTTCTTCTGTTAACCCACATATACCTAATGTTAATTCTGGATGTTAGTGGTGTGTGTTTATGCGTGCATGACATTGTTGCACTTCTATCTTTGCTAAGTTTATTTTGTTTGTTTAAAAATACTGTAGAACCTTGTGCTTTTGTTTTCTTAGCCACTGCCTGAGATTTTAAACTTCATCTACTTTAAACAATAAAGTTCTGAGCCAGATTGTAACATAAATTTAGCAGCCTTGTCTGGGATTGTAACATAATTTAACAGTTTCATCAGGGATTATGAAAGAAGATACACACCTTTTCTAACAATATCAATAAGGTCGTCAGGGTTAGTTACAGAACTCAAAATTAATTGAAAACTTACTTGCATACGCTGTGGATTTGAAAGATCAAACGTGGAACTGCTTAAGCCTTGTGCATTACTCGTTTTTGGGCTCCTCAATTCCCAAGCTGAAAGATAAAGAGCACATTGGGCATTTTATGTAAGAATAATAATTCAAGAATAATTATGGACTTTGATGACCATGTGTGTGTAATCTTTGCCATAGGGTTGGTTCCCTGATCCACCGGCTGGGCGGGTGGGGTACACCTTTGCCCTGCATGCAGCTGATATTGAATGTGTGTGTGTGTGTGTGTGTGTGTGTTTTATGTCTTAGATTGGGAACAGGTCAGTGATGATTATTAGGTTCACTGAGCCTGTATCATAGGTACAGGAGGTCAGTTGGTATATTTAAAGTGATTATATCGCAGGGTACTGTTAATGGAACAGTGTTGCCAGGTTTCCATCAAGGTTAAAAGATCATATTCCTCCAGTCCAAATAGCGCCTGTGGTTAATTGACAACTAATTCTCATCACCTATGCATTCATTAATAAAACCAGCATCGCTGACCATTTCATTCTTCTATATACACTGCGCCCCTTCAGTTTTGTTTATTCCTTCTTTCCATTATCTGCACTTAAGTTGTGTTTTTGCATGATTTTAACTTGCCTATTTTCCCAATCACTGTCCTTTCTCTTAAGTCAATCAATTCAAGGACATTTCATACCTGACCCAGACAGGGTGCCTGGGTTTCCTGGAGGTAGCATGTGTTGACCTCCTCCTTGGGTAACTTGCTTCATCATAAAACTAGGATTGTAGATTTCATCAAACTGTGCTCTGTGTTGATGTACATTGGATAGCTCCTGTTTTCTTTCAGTATATTGAGCTCTTGAGAACCCTGCCAGTAAAAGTGGACATGTTCAACATGTTATCTCAGCTGAGTGGTTATGTAAAGTATTCATCTGCAAATGATTGGTTCCAATCTGCATCAAGAGTTTGAGTTCAGAATTAAGGATGTCATACTACAGTTACACAGGGCTTTGGTGAGACCACACCTGGCGTATGGAGTGCAGTTTTGGTCTCCCTACCTAAAAGAAGATATACAGAAGAGTGCAGCACACGTTCATTCAGGTCTCATGGCAGGACTGTCTTAGGAGGACAGATTGGATTGACCAAGCCTATATTCACTAGAATTTAGAAGAATGAGTAGCCAATGTTGTTTCTCAGTTCAAGAAGGGAAACAGGGGCAATCCAGGAAATTAAAACCGGTGAGTCTCACATCAGTGGTTGGGAAGCTACTGGAGAGAATTCTTCAGCATAGGATTTACATGCATTTGGGAAAGCATGGGCTAATTAGGGACAGTCAGCATGGTTTTGTGCAGGGAAGGTCACGTCTGAATTTTTCGAGGAGGTGACAAAGGTCATCGATGACAGTAGAGCAGTGAATGGTATCTACATGGATTTCAGTAAGGCTTTTGATGAGGTCCCTATGGTAGGCTCTTCCAGAAGATTAAGATGCATGGGATCCATGTGACTTGGCTGTGTGGATTCAGAATTGGCTTGCCCATAGAAGGGTAGGGGTGGAAAGGTGTTTTTCAGGCCGGAGGTCCATGACTAGTGGATCCGCAGGGATCCATACTGGGACCTTTGCAGTTTGTGATATATATAAATGACTTGGATGAAAATGTAGGTGGTTGAATTAGTAAATTTGCAGACGATATAAAGATCAGTGGAGTTGTGGATAGTGTAGAAGGTTGTCAAACAATACAGCGGGATATAGACCAGTTGCAGATGTGGGCGGAGAAATGGCAGATGGAATTTAATCCGGGTAAGTGTGAGGCGCTGCACTTTGGGAGATCAAATGACAAGGAAATGTATATGGTTAATGGCAGGACCCTGAAACAGCACTGATGTGCAGAATGATCTTAGAGTTCAAGTCCATAGCTCCTTGAAAGTGCCCATGCAAGTAGATAGGGTGGTAAAGAAGGCATATGGCATGCTTGCCTTAAATGGTCGGGGAATAGTACAAGATTCAGGATGTCATATTGCAGCTTTATATGACTTTGGTTAGTCTACACTTAAGAGTATTGCGTTCAACTCTGGTTGCCACATTACAGGAAGGGTGTGGAGGCTTTGGAGAGGGTGAAGAACAGATTTACCAGGATGCTGCCTGAATTAGAGGGCATGTGCTATAAGGAGAGACTAGAAAAACTCAGGTTGCTTTCTCTAGAGCAGCAGAGGCTAAGGGGAGACTTGATAGAAGACTATAAAATTATGAGATGCACAGATAAAGGTTGATGGTCAGAATCTTTTTCCAAGAATTGAAATGTCTAAAACTAGGGGGGCATGCATTTAAGATGAGAGAGGAAAAGTTCAATGGAGATGTGAAGGGCAAGCTTCTTTTACAGAGAGTGGTAAGAGTCTGGAACACGCTGCCAGGGGTGGTGGTAGAGGCAGATATGATAGGGGCATTTAAGGGACTTTTAGATTAGCACACAGATATGCAAGGAATGGAGTGATATGGACTGAGGGTAGGCAGAAGGGATTAGTTTAATTTGGCATCATGTTCAGCACAGCACTGTGGGCTGAGGGGCCCGTTCCTGTGCTGCATTGTTTTATGTTCCATGTTCTAGGAGAGCTGATCAAAACGTATAAAATTCTAGACAGATTAGACAATGCTTCTCCTGGTTGGGGAGAACTAGGGATCAAAGTGTCAAGGTAGGCCACTTCAGACTGAGATGAGGAAACATTTCTTCACACAAAAGGCAGTGAACCTGTGGAATTCTCTTCTACAGAAGGCACTGGAGGTCAGGTCACTGAGCATATCTCAAGGCAGAAATTGATGAATTTTTAAGACATGAAAGGCATCAAAGGGTAGGAAGAGAAGGTAGGAATATGGCATTGAAGTAGAAAACCAGCCATGATCATACTGAATGCTGCAGTAGATTCGAAGAGCCAAAAGGCCTACTAGTGCTCCCACTTTCCATGTCAGAGTTTTTCAAAACCAGCTTGGTCATTACCGTGCACCCACTGACATACAGCGACTTCTAATTCTCCAAAGTCTCAAACTTGACATTTTTCATTCCAATTTGCAGAACATTCAGTTTGAGGAAGACTAGTACTTTAAACTTAAATAAGGACAACAGTGGAGGCATGAAAGCAGAACTAACTAAACTGCATTGGCAAATTAGGTTAATGGAAGGGTAAATAGAGACACAGTGGTAAACATTAAGGGGAATATTTCAAAATAAGCAGAATAATTGCATTTCAATGAGAAAACTGCACTGAGAGGACACATCATCCGCGGTGACCTAACAACGTTAAAGATGGCATTAAGGACAAAAATAAAAATTGCCGCAAAAGCTCAGCAGGTCTAGCAGCATCTGTGGAGAGAAATCACAGTTAATGTTTCCGGTCAAGTGACCCTTCCTCTGTTCTGAGGAACGGTCACTCAAACTGAAATGTTAACCCTGATTTCTCTCCACAGATGCTGCCAGACCTGCTGAGCTTTTCCAGCAATTTCTACTTTTGTCTCTGATTTACAGCATCCGCAGTTCTTTTGGTTTATATCAAATGGCATTAAACAGTTTTAAGAAAAGCATATAATTGCAATGGTCTAAAGATTGGGTAAATTATTAAAAGACAACAAAGAGGGATTAAAAGAGTAGTAAGGAGGGGAAAAAATTAGAGTACAAGAAAAAGCTAGCTAGAAATATAAAAACAAATAGTAAGTGTTTCTATAGATATTGAAGAAAGAAAGGAGTTAACAAAGTGAGTATTGATCCCATGAAAAGCAAGGCTGAGGAATTAATAAGGTAAAATAAGAAAATGGTGGACAAATTGAACAGGTATTTTGTTTTGATCTTCAATACAGAGGATGCAAAAGCCAACAAACAAGTAGCTGTAAATCATGAAAGAGAACAGAAGCAGGAATTCAAGAAATTTAGTTGAGCAAATTGTTGGAGCTGTGGACTGACAATTCCCAGGTCTTGTGAGATTCCATCCGAGGGTCTAAAAGAAGGGGTTAGTGAAAGAGTTGAAGTGTTGCCTTTATTATTCAAAATTCCCCTTTATTCAGAGAAGGTTCCATTAGAGTCAAAAAGTAGTGACTGCAACTCCTTTATTTAAAAGGGATAGAGACAGAAAGCAAGAAACTACAGGCCAGTTGACTTAATATCTGTCATAGGGAATAGCAAGAACTACAGATGCTGGAGTCAGAGTCAATGCAGTGTGGAGCTGGAGGAACACAGCAGGTCAGGCAGTATCAGAGGAGCAGGAAAGTCAACGTTTTGAGCCTAGACCTTTCAGCAAGACTGGGCAGAGAGACTTATCCTGATGAAGGTCTGATGAAGGATCTGTCATAGGGAAGATGTTAGAAGCTAATTTTAACGACATCATAACAGGACACATAACAAAATTCAAAATAATCAGGCAGACTCAACTTTTAATGAAAAGGAAATCATGTTTTTCCAAGTTATTGGAGTTCTTTGAGGGGGAGTAACATGTGCTATGGATAAGGGGGTTGGGGGGCATCGAATGTAATATAGTTAGTTTCCAGAAGGCATAAAGTGCCACACCAAAGGCTATTGAGGAAAGTAAAGGCTGTAAGGATTTTTTAAAAATTCACTCACAGGATAAGGGCATCACTAGCTAGGTCAGCATTTATTGCCCATCACTAATTGCCCAGAGGGTAGTTAAGAATCAACCACATTGCTGTGGGTCTAGAGTCACATGTAGGTCAGACCAGGTAAGGATGGTAGTTTCCTTCCCTAAAGGACATTTGTGAACCAAATGGGTTTTCTGACAATCAACAATGGATTCATGGTTATCACTAAATGCTTAATTCCAGATTTTTATTGAATTTAAATTTGCATTTGCCATAGCAGGATTGGAACCCAGGTCCCCAGAACATTACCTGTGTCTCTGGATTAACAGTCCAGCAATAATACTACTAGGCTGTCACCTCCCTGTGAGGTCAGGGGGTATTAACATGGAAACAAGATTGGCTGGCTAACAGAAGCTGGCAGTAGACATAAATGCGCTTTTTTTCTGGTTGGTAGGATGTAATGGAAATGATAGGTAGGGAAGTAAGTTGTGAGGAGGACATGAGGAGGCTATGAAAGTTAAGTGAGGTTAAGTAGGTTAAGTGAGTAAACAAAGATCTGAAAACTGAAGCATAATGTGGGTAACTATGTTAGCGTGCCTTAAAGAAACATGCTCAAGATATCAACACTACATCATAACAGGTGACCTATGGGCATAAATATCTCAAGGTCTATTTTACCTCAGATCATTTGAAGAATGACATTTGACTGGAAGCTTGTTCCTGTGATGTAACCTAAAAATTAATATTATCCCAAATGTGTCTGCCTGGGGGATGTAATATCTGTAATAAACGTCTTTTGGATTCTTCAATACCACGATATCCATGCCTAGTTTCTTATGTTATGCAAGATGACATAAGCATAGGTGCATCAACTATAGCATCATATTTTAGGAAAACTCATACGAGTAAGAAGTGACTTGATTGAAACATAAGATCCTAGGGGTTTACAGGGTGCATGCAGAAAGGATGTTTTTAAGTTGTTCATAGCACGTTGGCTTTGCTGGCTGGACAAATAAGTGCCTTCTTGAACTGCTCTAGTCTCTCTGGTGTAAGTACAACCATAATTCTGATAGGGACGGAGTTGTAGGATTTTGACCCAACAACAGAAGAAGGTCCGGAACTAGGGTCACTGTTCAAAATTAAGGGGTTACCCGTTTAATACAGTGACAGTGAGAATTACATTTTTCCTTCACAGAGGCTCAAAAGTCTTTGGAAATCTCTTCCTCAGTAGTGAAAATGTAGTGAAAACAGAGACCTTGAATATTTTTAGTCAGATTCTTGATAAGGAAGCGGGTGTGTGCTTATCAGGGGCTAGCTGGGATTTGTGAAATAATCAGATTGGCCATGATGTTATTGAGTAGTGGAGGAGGTCTGAGGGCCAAGTTGCACACTCCTGCTCCTACGGCATACATTTGCATGTTTCTATGTAAACGTATCCATGTTCTCATCTCTCCACATCTCTGTACTTTTCCTCCAAAACCATCACCAGTCCACTCCGAACTCTCTATTTCCCTCCTGGCCTTTCTCCTGCCCTTTGCCTGACCAGAGATGGCTTTGCTTTTTGGACATCCAGGCCTCAGACTCTGAAATTCCATCCATTAATCCCTCCAAATCTTCACCCAGCTTTCCAAATATCTCAGCTGGGTTTGTATTCAGCTTTCTCTCCTTACACCGAATGAAATGGCTCGAGTCATTCTTCTATGTTGCTCTAAGTGAATGCAAATTATTGTTGTTGCCATGATTATGATCAACGTAAAGATTACAGTCAGAAGCTCAAGTGGAACATGCTCAGTAATTAAACAAACATGCAAACAATCGGAGCAACGTTTATGATGATGGCATTACCTGGCACAGTGTCTTCATAGGTCCAGTTGAAACCTGGTTGTATATAAGTTGGTTTTAAATTTGGTACCACAAAGTGAACGTCCCTACCATCAGGAGGTAGTTTGGACAGCAAAATGTCCTCAGTAAATCTGATCTTCTTCTGGCCAGAACTGGACTCTAGTTTAGAAGGTGGACTTGCAGCCTCCCTAGGAACTGAGAAGATTTTAACTTTGTTTGCTTTTTTGTAATAATTCTTGTTCATTTTCAACCTTCTTAATGTTTCAGCCATTTGTTTATCTACTTTTACCAAAACTCTAAGAACACTTAATGAACAAAGCAACAACTAGCAATTCAATTCTTGATTATTCAGTGAATCATTTTTTTAAAACAAAAATTGTCAGTCAAAAATCTCTGTAGCCTCACAGCATGAGCTCGGTGAATTTTTAACTCTGAGCGCTCATTTCATGATGCCAACAGCCTCCTATAGGCCCCTGAGTATTCACTCTTCTACTCATTAGTATAAAATATGTTTCAACCCAGAGGAAAGTCATCATGGTCACTTTAACTGTGCATCAGCTTGGACAGGGCTAAAATTGGAATTTTAAGTCCGTAATTCATTACATTACTGTTGCTGTACATATCAAGTGATTATCTGGGGAGCAGGAAAGCTGACGTTTCGGTTCCAGACCCAAAACATCAGCTTTCCTGCTCCTCTGATGCTGCCTGGCCTGCTGTGTTCCTCCAGCTCCACACCTTGCTATCTCAGACTCCAGCATCGGCAGTTCCTACTATCTCAAGTGATTATCTATCTTCTAAGATGACAAATTTCTGTCAGGATTGATGGAATCCTAAACAAGCGCTTTAGAAGTTGCAGCTAAGTCAGGCCAGATGAAGTTTTCCAAATGCTACAAATGGTTAAATGTCAAATACAGCTTTATTCTGATGTTCAACATCAAACACGGCCTTTTACACCTTTATTTACGATAGTGCCCATTCTTATTATTCGAGTACTCAATTGTTTATTTTTAACAATGATGTTTGCATTTCTGGAGCATTTAACAGAAAGCAATGCTTAAGTATTCAAAGCGTGGTTTCTTGAAAACGAAAATGGAATATTATCCATTTACCTGATGCAGTAAACTTTAGTTTATGGGGACTAAATGCTACAATTTGACAATATTCCTAGAAGGGTGATTGGTATGGGATTCACATGGACTCTCCCAAAGTTGAGTTGTAAGCAGAGGAATGTAACACAGTGACAAAGTAGTATTCTATGATCTGGTCAATAAAACACTTGACTAATAGTGCAACTAATGGTGTGCACAATTAGGCTGAAATTGGATCTGCCTAATGAACTTGACGGATCCATAAAACCAGTCATGCACGCAAACAGCAGGTTGCAAATCTACCCGAATCATAGGAACATAGGAATTAGGAGCAGGAGTAGGCAATTCAGTCCTTCAAGCCCACTATGATAAAATGCTAAAGCGGATTGATAAAGTAGATGTTGAACACATGTTCCCTCTTGTGGGACAGTCTCGAACAAGAGGTCAAAGATATAAAGTGAGAGGAGGAGAAACTACTGTCAGAGGGTTAATGAGACCACATTTAACATTCTCCATTTAACATGATCATGGCTGATCTGATCGATGTCTCAACTCCACTCTCCTGTCTGCTTCCAATAGCCCTTTAACCCATTTTCCATCAGAAACATATCTTATTTCTTTCTTTAATCTGTTGATTGATCTGCCTCCACTGCACTCTGAGGCAGTGAGTCCCACAGATTCACAACCCTCTGACAGTAGTTTCTCCTCCTCTCACTTTATATCTTTGACCTCTTGTTCGAGACTGAACCACAAGATGTGTTCAACATCTACTTTATCAATCCCTTTTAGCATTTTATCTACCTGTATCAGATCCCCCCTCATTCTTCTGAACTCCAGAGAGTACAAGACCGAGCTATTCAACCATTCCTTGTGTGACAGCCCTTTCATCAACCTGATGAACCTCCTCCGAACTGCCTGCAGTGCCACCACATCCTTCCTCAAGTAAGGAGACCAAAATTGGACACAAAAGTCCGGGTGTGGTCTCATCAATGCCTTGTATAAATGTAACAACACTTCTTTACCTTTACAATTCAGTCCTTTTGTAATAAATGTCAGGACTCCATTTGCCTTTCTTATTATATGCTGCACCTGCATACCCACTTTCTGCAATTCATACACAAAGACACCCGGATCCCTCTGCACTGACATACTTTGAATCTACTTCCTATTTAAATAATAATTTACAGTTTTATTTGTCCAGCAAGAATGGACAACATTGTGCTTATCCACATTAAACTCCATTTGCTAGATTCTGGCCCATTTTCCTTGCATTATCAATATCTATCCGTAAATTCTTGATTTCTTCATCATAGCTGCATTCCGACCTATTTTAGAATGATCAGCAAATTTTTCTACATTACACTCAGTCCCTGCTTGCAGATCATTTATATAGGTTGTAAATAGTTGAGGTTGGAGAACTGAACCCTGTGGCACCCCACTAGTTACAGTTCACCATCCAGAGAAGGACCAGTTATCCCAACCAATGTCAGTCAGCCAATCCTTTATCCAAGCCAATACTCTACCCTTAACCCACTGGGATCTAAATTTCTGGATCAATATCTCAATCACCATATTGTAACCACAAAATGAAATTTAACGTGAAGAGGAAAAATAAGCCTACCTTTACTTTTGCTGTCATCTCCTTCATTATCCTTTGAAAATGATTTGCAGCAATTCTTTAGAAAGTCTGCTGTGAGCCCCAGTACGACACTAAGCAACAATCCAATGAAAACTGGAATAAGCAACCAAAGCGATGCTGAAAGAGATTGGGGGATGTTGAGGTTTAAGAGAAATGCAGTGCAAGCTATGAGCGTGCATTTGCTCAATATAGGTTTCCAAAGAGAGTAATATTAGCAAGTCTATGGAGAAACAGCAATGAGGAGAGAACTATAGGAAGTGGAGTCAATTAGGTGGCTCTTTCAAGGAGTCAACACAGGCATGAAGAGTTTGGGTTAACTGCCTATTCTCAAGTTAGTGTTTCCTTGCATTGGATGATGGATAAGCAGTGTAGTGGGAATCTACTTATCTTTTATTTTCTGAAGACACTAAGCCTTTAGTTCAGGTGAAACGTCCAAGGACATTATCCATCAATATTCAAAGTGAACTTTCAACTTAAGTATCAATGGAAAGGAAGTATAGTGGGGCACATAAAATGATCATTCTGATTTTATTAGTGGTACACAATGCCAGAATTGAACATTATGCAGAAGGATCAGAATAGATGAGCTGAGAAATATCCAATGGCTATTTTCAGGTGGATAAATATATTGTTCTGCACAATGAAATGGATAACATGAGGTATGTACACCATCAATAAATGATACTTTGAAATTTCCACTTAGCAAATGAATTAGAAATCCAAACAAGACTTTGCTTGGGTAGTCATCAGGGGAGCAAATCAAATGCTAAGATACATAATTGGTACTTAATTGAAAATTAATACAAGTTGGTTTCATATCAGTCATCAGTGAATATGCTCTTCCAATATTGTGAAACAATTTTGGCATATACTTCTGAGAGTTAGGGATAAGTAGGGACAGGATGATGAGACAAAGGGAGAAATCGGCCCCTCCCCCCTCCCCCAGAGATAAGTAAATTTTTTACAGTCCAGGACGGGGACAAAGAATGGCATTGGTGGGTTAATACCCATTTCCACATTTTACTTTGTTATAATTGCTGTGAGGAACTAGAACATCGTGTTCTTATTCAAATAGAATTCTTGATGGAACAAAATATAGATAACCGGAGTTCTGATATCGACTTTCCTATCATCAATGAAATAGAGAGGAACACGCTGCACCAGGCAAGGAATAATAATAGTGATCACCAATTTCCTTAAATGAAAAGGGTCATAAGATCAGCAAATGATGGATTCTGCTTTTTAATTAATTACAGAAAGTCTGATATTCAACCTTTCCAACTCGGTGAAATTTGCACTGGTATTAACTCATGGGCTGTTATCATCAAGTCATGTATACCACATGGAGACTGGCCAGCTATTTATTGAAAAAAAAACTTGATATGGAAGGTGGTGTAATAACAGTGCACACTTATAAAGCAAATCCATAAGTATATAGATTTGTAATTGTTATCAATGCAAGAATATTAACCTCCCACTGTAAAATACTTAATAGAAATATAGTAGTCTATTAAAAAAAAGCATTTCTGACAGCTTACAGCCACTTTTTCCACTTATATGTGATCATAAATGTACTTCAGTATTAATCAGCATTTCATGCAAATATAAAGTAAAAGTAAGGCCATAGTCCCAGAGGACCACAGGGTTGCTTTCTCATTAGAGAGAGACAACTGGTGGAGTTTAACCTGAGGTTCACCACACCAAGCAGAGAGGTTGAGAAGGTGACCTTTGATGTTCAAGTCATCTAATTCTGATATCTGCTTCATAAATAAGTTTAATTTTAATGTCTCAAGAATGAAATTAATACAAGTGCTGAATTTTGTAACTGAGATTATAAAATACAAAAAAAAAATTATAATTGGTCACAAAGCACTTCATGAGGCACTTAGCAACAGGTTATTCTAGGTTATTATACAGCAGTGCAAAAAGTGAGACACTGATCTGTTAACAAAGATTTCCCTTATTAAAACTAAACTCCTAAATGTTTGCAGAGTCCAGTTTTGATATCAGACACTTACCCGGTAAAGGTGTAACCAACTGTAGACCTGCCATTCTCCCATTTACTCAGACTTTTGGAATTATTTTTAAAGTTAAGAGTGGTCTCTACATATCACAGGATACCTGTAGAAATAAAAGGAGTGCATCCAAAAATTAAGGAATAGCTTTGAAAGGCATTGAATATTATATTAGAAAACCAGAAGAGTAATGTAATCCAATAATTAAAATACAATTGTAAAATATAATAAATGTATATTGTCCAAATTGGAACAGACACCACAGGGACTAGGAACAATGGGTATGAGTTTTTGCCCTGTTTACCGAACAAAAAAACTGTTATACACTATTCGTATTAAATCAAATTCAGTTGAAGTCACTGCTACTTATTTTTGAGTTAAAATTGAGGTAAAGTATCCTTTAGAAATTTAAACTTAAAAAGCAGATGTTCCCTCCAGTCTAATTGTATCAGCTTCACTCAATTGGTATTCATTGTTGGTAGCAGTTCTGAAGAAGAGTCACATCAGACTTGAAATATTAACTCTGTTTCGCTCCCCTGCTACATTGCTCCAGCACATTCTGTTTAATTTCAGATTTCCAGAATCTGTAGTAGTTTGCTTTTATTACAGGATCTACCTTTGTTGCATTGCAAGATTTAAATCCCTTGCCATGCTGGAATCAATCTAGGGTGGAACTCCAATACAATACGGAGTGTAATTCATGGTCAATAGTTTTGCTGTTTAGATTAGATTTTGAATTGGTGAGATAAGAGTCCAGTTTGAGTAGCTGTTAAAATCTGAAGACATTATTCAAAAAGAAAAAACTCTCCCTATTTGCCGGCTACAGTTCTCCCTAAAGCAACATTATCGAAAATCGAGAACAAATAACAATGCTTCTTATTTATCTTTCTGCAATTTCACCAAGTGACTGCCATATTTGGTCTGTGCAACACTATTACACTACAAAGCATAACTGAAGTGGGGTTGGTGGTGTAGAGCAAGAAGTAAGACATTGATTGACATCTTCACTGGGTGGTGGGTTGTCCCACTATGACTTCCTCATAAATTTCAATGGAATGAAATTTGACGGTTCCACTAAAGGCAGCAAGTTAATTGACTAGATTAGCACTGAAGCAGTGAGCATAATACTCTTCCCCTAAATACGTTTCCATAAATTGGAGGAAAGAAGGAAATGGCGATGAATGCGATACCTCGCTCAGTTTTAGATTAAGGTGCTGATCCCATCATGCTTCAAATCCCTCATACCATTCCCTCAAACCCCCTCTATATACAAATTGGATTTATATTGTGCCTTTAACATAGCCAGTATCCGGAAACACAAAAAAATGGACTTGCGTGCAATGAAAAAAAATGTACTTAATTATGTGTGACACACTTTGATGTCTGAGAAACAAGAATACGAATCCTCCTCTAATCAACAGATAACCAGTGGTAGGTAAGTAGATCAATTCTTCCCTTCACAAGGTGATTGGAAGAGCCTTCTTGTGGCAAAACAGACTCTGAGCAGTTTATAGTCTACATATATGACATACAGCTACCAAGTAACGCGAAGACAGATAAAGACAGGTTAACGTTTCTCCTCTGTCTATATTATTACCATTAGCACAGTTTTAGAATGATTGTAGATATAAAGTTTTATATGACTTCAATTAAATATACAATTCAGATACCATCCACAGCTGTTACTTACACAGTATTTGTATATGTTGTTGATAGATCTTTAACTGAAACATAAAGTCATAAACACAAGATGTCAACTTCTCATAAGATGAGGAAACAAAGTGATTCTTGCTTCTGTGTTTCATGTAAACATAATTGTCCTCTTAACCCTATTTTACCAACGGTCAGAAAATCATTTTGACTTTTGACCAGAGAAAACTCTTACAAGAAATCATGTAATTGAAGTTAAATGAATCAATCAGCTACCTAGGGAGATGGTTGCTGAATGTTACAAAGCAGCAAAGCATGAGGGTGGGGGAGATGGGAGAGCAAGTAGTAAGACATTGATTTACCATTGATTTACATCTTCACTGGGTGTTGGATTGTCCCATTATCACTTCCAGGTAGAGTAGATTTCAACAGAATGAAATTTGACAAGTTCATGTTTATGATAGATAAATAGATTGTCATGGGCTACTTGTAGGTTGCATTAAGAAGAAATGAAGTCATCCTAGCTGAAGGGCGGTTTTTTAAAAATTTTATAAGTCTTCAGGCTATGGGACTTTAGTTTGTAACAAATTTCAGGTTGCAAGATTTTATAGAAATCTCAAAGTTGTCAGAACTGAAAACAAAGCTTCCGGCCTCAGAGCTTGGGGAAAAAAAATCTTAAAATAAAAATCTTAAATAGTCCAGGAGAAGGACTAAAAAGAATTATTTAAGTAAGAAATCAAAGAGTTACAATAGCATTAATACTTAACTGGGATTGAGTGTCTGTAAAGCACATTGCTGAGAAAGGGACTGAAACTTTCCTTTTGCTGTTTATTTTAAGATCTTTCTATATTGTCATATATATCATATAACTCCCTCCCACTACTTTGTATAATAAACTAGTGTTCAATATTAAAAGAACAACCTCATGTGAATATGATCAGTGACCAACTACTATAGCAACTGCAAAAACTTATGATCTATCAATAGTGGTTTCAATGATATCTGACTTGTCTAGTATTCCTGGTAAGTGGGATCATAACACCATTTATATTTGGCTTTATATCAAAGATAGATCTTTAATGTGCTGAACAATTAATGTTTTAACAGAGATTTCTTAAGCTGGCAAATATTAAAACTAAAAATAATTGAGAAAAGTAACAAATGAAAAATGATTGTGGTAGTGCAGATGTAATTGAATATACAGTTGCAGGAAGTAGGAGCATTTTATGGATTATTAGAGTTACTAATTAAAATGAGAATCCTGTCTCTGGGTTTTATTTCCATTTTAAGCTTTTACAATGCGTGTGATTTTTGTTAGGGTTTTAAATTTGAGAAATGTTTTTTATTAAATAAAAGCCAGTTTTTCCCGCCAATGACAGAAATACTTGTCTAAAGTTTTGCACAGATGGAGAGGCTTTTAGCAAAAATGGTACGGGAGGCTCAAATCCAGAGGTCCTGTTCCCTAAACCTGGTCCCTACCATGTTTGCAGGGTGTGGGTTGAGGTAAGCAGGTTGAATGGTAGCGGTCTGTAACTTACACATAGCTTATAGAGGCGACTGGGCATGTAAAGTACTGCCTTCAGTAAGATTTTAATGGTAGGGTTCTCAAAATATGACTTGTGCACTTCAGATGTAGTGGGAGAAATTCTAAACTTACCAGGTTCTTTGGAGAGGCATGGTACCCTTTTGGAAATAGTCCCTAGATATCTTTGGAAGAGATCAGTTGCTCTTTGAGAGAGGTAAGATGTCCTTTTTGGATTGATAAAAGTAGACATGAATATGTGTTAAAGAGTGGATAAACTTATAGGAAATGTCCAACTCATTGGATCTGTTAAGACAGCTTTCAAGGGAGCCATAAGGGCATTTGAGTATCCTGTCCTGCTATTTCACTCTATCTTCTGACAAACGTCTGAAGGCTATTATTATAGTATTAGTGCTGATTTCACAGCCTGTCAGCGGCCTACCAGTTCATGCACAGCTCCAAATGTTGAAAAGTTTTTGAAGGGGGGCTACGAACACAAATGCCAATTTTAATAAGGGATTAAACATTTCAAGGAAGATAAATGGTCTGAATGAATTTTTCATTGAGAGTGCTTTTTTGGATTAGTGAAGTTATTAATAGGTGCTTACAAAATGTATCTACCACACAGTAATTTGATTTGATTTATTGTTGTAACATATACCTAAGTACAGTGAAAAATTTTGTTTTGTGAGCCCTACAGGCAAATCATAACACACAAGGACATACAGATTGTAGGGTGCTGAGATAGAGTGAGGCTGCACAGGAGGTGCACAAAAGCAAGATCAACATTAGTCTAATAACAGCAGGGAAGCGGTTCTTGAATCTGTTGGTACATTTGCTTAAGCTTCTGTATCTTCTGCCTGATGGAAGAGGTTGGAAGAGAGTATTCCCGGGGTGGGAGGGGTCTATGATGATGTTGGCAACCTTTCCGCAGCAATGAGAAATGTGCATGGAGTCCATGGATGTGATGGCCTAGGCTGTGTACACAACTTTATGCAGTTTCTTGTAGTCCTGGGCAGAGCAGTTGCCGTACCAAGTCGTTATGCGCTCAGTTAGTATTTGAATATTACTGCCATCTCCCATGTGAGTACTCACTTGTACGGAAATTGGTTTGTGTAAATTGGCTGCTGTGTTTTCTACATCACAACAGTGACTTCACTTCCTAAACACTTCATTAGCTGTAGAGGTAACACAATGTGGAGCTGGTGGAGCACAGCAGGCCAGGCAGCAGAGGAGCAGGAAAGTTGACCCTTCTGAAGAAGGGTCCCGATCCAAAACGTCAACATTCCTGCTTCTCTGATGCTGCCTGGCCTGCTGTGCTCCTCCAGCTCCACACTGTGTTATCTCTGACTCCAGCATCGGCAGTTCTTACTATCTCTGAATTAGCTATAATGGGCTTGGGATATCTGGAGGTCATTAAACATATTACATAATTTCTTGTGCAAGACTAAATGGTTTTGTTGTGCAATTGCTCAGTCTACTGTTATAGGGAGTGGAGCTGCGTCTACTTTTTTTTCCTTTATTCATTCAAGGGTGTTGCTGGTTAGGCAGCATTTATTGCCCATCCCTAATTGCCCAGAGGGCAGTTAAGAGTCAGCCACATTGCTGTGGGTTTGGAGTCACATGTAGGCCAGAACAGGTAAGGATGGCAGTTTCCTTCCCTAAAGGACAGTAGTGAACCAAATGGGTTTTTCCCGACAATTGACAATGGATTTACGGTCATCATTAGACTCTTAATTCCAGATATTTATTGAATTCAAATTCCACCATCTGCCATGCGGGATTCAAACCTGGGTCCACAGATTAACAGTCCAGCAGTAATACCACTAGGCCATCCCCTCAATTCCATCATTCACTTTTACATATGTCACTTTTCTCTAATCACCTCTAACCTTTCCCACTACAGCAATAAAAAGAGATAAATTCACTCATTA